TATATATGAAACTATATGGCATGTACATCATGAATATTAAGTCGAAAATCAAATGGAGTGAATAGTACACTCGGAATAAATTAATTAATCAATTAATTAAATATTCTCTAAATTTTAAAACAACTCCGATTACTCTCGAATTTACCTATGTTGAAGAGTATGTTAGGGCCTAATATAATATGCTAACACACATCGATTTCAAGCTAATTAAGGCCACATGAATTAATATTTTATTCTAGTAAAATATTAAATAAAATCTTCGTTACTTGTCCAATTTCTCTCAATTTAATATATGTTAATCTACATACCAAGGGGTAATATTCTATCATGCCACATGTTTAAACAAGGCTATGGGCAACCGGAAAAATCAAATCACATGTTAGAAAGTAAATAATTAAAATCTCTAGATTTAATATCCAAGCAAGTAAACAAGTATCATAAGCATCACAAGCATGCTATATAACAAGAAAACTACCTAGAACACCCCCTACCTCAATTTGAGATGAAAACCTCAAATCCCCACTGAAAAAAAAGTGTCCCGAATTCGCCGAAACCGAAGGGTTTTGTCAGGGACAACACAATCTACATAAATCCGAAGGAAGCCCCATAAAAATTACAACTTGACCTCAAACCCAAACTCAAGAAATGGTCAGAAATGAATTCTAATAATGGGGAATGATAGAACACGTCGAGGGGAACAAAAAACGTGAAAGCTGAAGACTTTTCACTTAGGAAAAGTAAATCAAAGGAGGAGAGAGAAGGTGGCAGCTCCATGGACATCCATGGCTGCTTCAGGTCGTGCATGGAGAGTGGGGAAGATGAAAAATGAAATATCTCATCCCCCTTTAATAGAAATCTCAAAAATGCCCCGAGCGGGCCCCGTCGGGTCCGGAAATGTGGATTTTGAGCAAACGCGCTCAAATAGAAAAACTCTATGAACAAAAAAGATTCAAAATGAGAAAATATGAACAACGAAAGAAACGACGTCAAAAACTGAGTCCCGAGCAAAAAGTTATGCCCCGAATAAGTTCGGCGACAACCGGGTCCAGAAACTCTGAAACTGGAGAAAAATGACCAGAACGGAATTCTAAGAGTCCACGACTCGACGAAATGTGAAAATGAATCCCATACGAGGATCCAGGCTCTAGATGAGACATTTTGCAATACCTTTCGTTAATTGCACAATGGCCCCTACAAAAAGGGTTAACTGCAAAACTGCCCTAGAATGAAAATATCTTCCAAAAGATATTTTCTCAGATGCCCCTGAAAGAAAATATCTTCAAAAGATATTTACGAAAAACACCCCAAGAATTGAAAAAGATTCTGAAGAATTGTGCATCTATACCCCTATGGACACCGGGAGTAACCAGAGTACTTTCTTGCAAAAGTAAATATACGTATTTCGAGAAAATCACTCAAGATGAAGACACGTGAAATCAAAAACTAACTCCGAGCATGAAAAGTGAGGTTTTGCTAAACAAGTGACAAACGGGGAAAAGACAAAATAGGGAAAAAGACGAAACAAGGAAAAGAACGAAAGGCGCATAGTGTCCGAAAAGTGAAAATGCAGAAATGACTCGTTCCCAAAGGATGTTGTCAATTCACAGAAAAGAGTCTCGGAAACTATTTCCGAGCACTCGAAATGACACTAAGCGACAAGAAACAGAGCTCAGAAAAGAAAATTAAACGAAAAAAATTTATCTGTAAAATTTCAGGAAAAATGAAAGGGAGGTAAATGACCGGGTCATTACAATCTGTTCATTAAATGATTTACACATGTTAATCTATTTAGTAACCTATTTACCAAAACCAGACATTATATTATTTAGATTATTTATAATAGCCCAAACAATAAATACTAGAAAAAAAATAAGTGTCAATCCAATCAAATTAGTAAATAATCTCTAGTTCACAAGAAAATAAATTAAAAGACACAAGTTGTAAGAATACAAAAGTCCTGAAAGTGAGTTTTTCCCAGAGGTGACTTCAAGTATAAAACGGAAAAGAAAGGATGAGAGGATAAGGAAGAGAACTCAGACAAATGAATAAATGAGAAAATAGGGAGGGAGAGTGGCAGAATCTCCAGGTTGTATGTCATAAATGAGTCCATCATGCCACTGTATTGCAATTTATAGTGCTATTGGCACATGTCATGCACGTGTCATTGTACGAACATCCGTCATGTGTCAGTGTATTAAAAGGCTATGTGTCCCTCATTTATTCCTTTAGTCACGAGACTCATCCGCCTTAGTCGTGGGCCAAGGACCCTCCTCCACTCTGCCGGTGAGTCCCTTGTTCAATCTGCCATGCCTCAAGAACCTCTTTCCCCGCTTGCTCCCCTCATGACGTGGCGTGCACCATACGCAAAGCTAGACACGTTGCGCTCAAGTGTTAGTGCTCTCCTAGGTAATAATACCGTAACGTATCGCGGATCACGTTTAGCCTACACTGTCTAGTATTACCCTTGCCAATATAACTACCATACTTGGGCGCGTATCACCTTATTCCTCGTGTTTCCTGATAGTTGGCAATCTTGGACTATATGAATTAATCATGCACCCCTGTGACATGTACCATCAATATTTGGCAAGTGATAATCTATAGTCCTATCCTGATCCCATCATGAATCTACTTGTGGTCCTATACCCTTGGTTCCTACTAAACCTGCACTCAATACCAAGTGCCTACCTTCTTTTCATCTTGCACTAGATCATTCTTGGGGTAAGTGGGCAAGTACCTGACATTTGGCTATTATTTTGTATATGCAAGTAGGCACACGGGCAAATGTTTAAGCAGACAAGTGCATGGCACTTGTCCATTATTTTGTATAGGCAAGTGGTGGGCAAGTGTATGGCATTTACCCATTTGTATGGGCAAGTGGATAAGTGGGTAAGTGCATGACACTTGCCCATTATTTTGTATGTGCAAGAGGGAAGGCGGGCAAACACATGACACTTGCCCATTAATTTGTTTTGGCAAGTGGTGGGCAAGTGTACACTTGCCCAAAGGTGGACAAATGCATGACACTTGCCCATTATTTTATATGGGCAAGTGTATGGAACTTGCCCAGGTGGATAGGTGCATGATACTTGCCCATTATTTTGTATAGTGTATGGAACTTGCCCAATTGGGTAAGTGCATGATACTTGCCTATTATTTTGTATGAACAAGTGGTGGGTAAGTGTATGGAACTTGCCCATTTGTATTGACAAGTGGGCAGGGGGCAAGTGCATGGTAATTGTCCATTATTTTGTATAGGCAAATGGTGGGCAAGTGTATGGCACTTACCCATTTGTATGGGCAAGTGGGTAAGCGGGCAAATGCATGACACTTGCCCATTATTTTGTATGGGCAAGTGAAAAGGTGGGCAAGCGCGTGACACTTACCCATTAATTTGTTTTGGCAAGTGGCGGGCAAGTGTAAGGCACTTGCCCAAATGTGGACAAATGCATAACACTTGCCCATTATTTTGTATGGTGTATGGAAGTTGCTCAATTGGGCAAGTGCATAATACTTGCCCATTATTTTGTATGAACAAGTGGTGGGCAAGTGTAAGGAATTTGCCCATTTGTATTGGCAAGTGGGCAGGCGGGCAAGTGCATGGCACTTATCCTTTATTTTGCCGCTAATGATGCGAGTTTAGATAGTTATTATAGACCCAAACCCAAACATTCAGAGTAAGAAGAAATCCCCCCCCCCCCCCCCACCCACGCACAAACAAGTAGATATAATATAAATGTTTAAGTAACTCTAATAACTTTAAAATAATAAGGTGTACCGTGAATGAGAGGAAAAAGAAATGACAATTAAAAAACTATTTCATATTTTTGTTGTCTACCGTAATTGTGTCTAAATAGGTAATGAGTTTCACGAGTCCTTTTAATAGGTATTTAGTTAATCCATTTAAACACGATACGATTAATTAAATTAATTAATTGTGTTAATTCATTTATGACTCGAGTTCAAATAAATTAACCCAAATTTATTTCTCGTCTGGCCAATTTTTTTTTTTTTTTTTTCCCCCTCACTTTGAAATTCTTATATTTCTTTGGTTGAAATTGAATCCATGGCTCTTCCGTGAGAAGGGACAGCCATACAGGGAACCGCTAAATTAATATTTTTCATAAAAACTGTTCTGAGGGGGATTTTCATTTTTCTAAAAAAAAACTATCTTATTAAATTTACAATCTTACCTTTTTGCATTTACGTAACAAAACAAAATACTAATGAATTTTTTTCCCTAATATACCTACCCCTTCGCTTCCGCAAAAAGGCTCTCTAAAGTTCGAGGGACTAGGGTTTCTGTGAAGAAGACAATACATAACATGGATGGCGGATGAGCTCTTCGGAGGAGCTGTTTTGGGAGCAGCTGCAGTCAATGAATTGGTGAAAGCTGTTTTGAATCATTTGACGAACATAGCCGTCAAGTTTAAGCTGAACAAATCGTTTGAACCATTCTTTGGTGAGATCATTAAGCTGAACAAATCAATAGAACCATTCTTTGCTGAGATCATTTAGCTGAACAAATCGTTGAATCGTCCCGTGCACGAAACCCTAAATCGATTAAAAATGCCAAGAAGCTTGTCTTCAAATGCTTGAAAATTGCTCGAAAATTTGTGAAGTTACTGCCAGGAGAAGCAAGCTCGTGGAATTGAAGGAGTCAATCGAAGACGATTATGGTGAAATTGAATGAAATAGATGCGGTAAGACTACTCTGTCAAAAATTCTCCATCATGATGTGGAAATTCAAAGGTATGAAGATTGGATTAGGTCTAATTTGGTAAATTTTACCAACATTGCATTTGGATTGATTGAATATATTTTATTAGGATCTTCCAGCGAGCCCTCAAAGCCCTCCCTGGAAGCTACAAGCTCTGGTACGCTTATCTCCGCGACCGGCTGCAGAGGGGACGGCCGCGGCAGAAGGACGGCGGCAGAGAGAGAAAGAAGAGAGAGGAGAGAGAAAGGAGAAAAAAAAAAAAAAATATATATATATATATATATATATATTTTTTTTTTTTTTATTTTGGGTTTTGGGTTGGGTTCGGGTTGAGCCGAGCCCAACCTTAATATGTCTGGATTTTGTGAATTTAAAGCCCAAATTTCAAATTTTTTGGATTGGGATTGGGCTGGGCTGGGTTAGCCCGCCCAAGTTGCAGCCCTGGGATCGTTCGCATGATCGAGAGAAGAACCTTACTTGAACATGCTTTTACTCGGTAACTTAAACACGCTTTATTAAAAAATGAAAATAAAATAGAACTTAAATTCCTCACGCGCCCGAACTTCTTATAAAATGAAATCAGAAGATTGAGGAACCCAAATACTCTCGATATTCAGTTAATTGGGTTTTTCTGTTAAAAAGAATATAGATTTGGGTTTTTTTTTTTTTTTTTTTTTTTTTTGTTTCTTCCTGTGCATAATAAACTTGAGATTTAGTAAAATTTGAGCACTTCCTGATATTTCTACTACATTTGATGGTGTTGGAGTTCATTGAGGGGGCTGCATTGGAAGCAGCATTTGGTGAATTACTGAAAGCTGTGCTGGATGTCAAAGGCAAAACCATCAACTTCAAGTCCAACCTCGACCAACTCGAATCACGACTCAATTCACTCCAACCACTTGTACGCCAAATTGCGAACTTGGACAGAGAACTGGACTTTCGGGGGGAAGAAGCCAAAATGTTCACCGGTAGGTTGAAAGAGGCTGCGAAGCTGGTCCGCAAGTGCTCTAAAACTGTTTGCTTGAATTGTTTCAAGAGGTCTTCCTACTCGAAGAAACTCGTCGAAATGGAAGATTTGCTTGGGATATTCTTTCAGACCAATGTCCAAGCTCTGGAGACAATGGAGAGCAGGAAGATTATGGTGAAGGTGAATGAAATAGATGTGAAATTGCGTAGAATGTCGTCAAGTATGAAGAAAGGTGGACAGGTTTGTGATCCGAGTGTGTTTGTAGGTTCGTGTGGAGCTCCGGGGGTTCCCAATATTGTTGTTGGACTAGATGTGCCTCTTCAAGAATTGAAGATGAAGTTGCTAAAGGATGGTGTCCAGGTGGTTGTGCTTTCAGCTCCTGGAGGATGTGGGAAGACTACATTGGCAAAAATGCTCTGCCATGATGCCGAAATTGAAGGTATTTATATAGAGATATCAAATCTTCTTGCCTTTGTTGTTATGCTTAATTTATTTTGGTAAATGCTGGGTGCTTTTAGAAACTAATAATTTGCAGATGTGCCTGTATATAAATTGAGCCATTCTACTCGCTACATTTATTGAAGGCATTTAAATTAGTGTCATTACTGAAGACCATTTCTTTGGAAGTTTCATTTCTTGTGGAAGTTTATTAGCATTGATTTTTTTTTTTTTTTTCAAAAGAGAAATTTGTTACCAGACATCTGAAAGCTTGGTGATAATGTAATCTACCAACTTAAATTTTTTAATGGTTTTCTATTAAGTACTTCTAACCTATTTGAAAATACCTTGCTTGGACAGGAAAATCTAGGGACAATATTTTCTTTGTCACGGTTTCAAAGACACCCAACCTCAAGGCCATTGTTCGCAACATGTTTCAACATAAGAATTTTCAGGTGCCTGAGTTTCAAAATGATGATGATGCAATTGACAAATTGGGAAACTTGCTGAGCCAGAATGAAATAGGAACAAGTCCTAAGTTGTTGGTCCTAGATGATGTATGGTCTGGATCAGAATCCCTTATTCAGAAATTCATGTTCCCAATACCAGAATACAAAATATTGGTTACATCAAGATTTGTATTTCCTAGATTTGATTCTACGTATAAATTGGAGCGGTTGAATGATCAGAATGCCATGACTCTTTTTCGTAATTCAGCATTTCCTCAAGGTGGGAGCTCCAACATACCAGATGATCTTGTCAACGAGGTAGAATACAAATCCCTATATGAACAAGATATAATATATTTTTTCTTACTTGTCTGACAGAATTATGTGTTTGTACACACAGTAAATCTATGCTTGCATGTTTTACTTTTGTGTCACCAATTTTTTTTTACTGACCCAAAAATATAAAATATGCAGCTTTCAATACCATGATTTTTTTTACTTCAGAGTTTGTATCTCCAAAAATATTTTATTTATTTATTTTTTCAATGGAAAAAACAGTGGTTAATATAATTTCTGGCCAACTAGGACTGGAAGCTTGACCAAAATTATCCTTTTTAAAATTAGAAGTATCGATGTTATATTCATTTAATTGATCAAGAAGAAGTAGAGCTTCTGTTTACTTATCTGCAATTCTGTATTAGTTTCATTTAATTGAAGATCAAGCAGTGGAGTTTGTATATACTTGTCTCCAATTCTGTATTATTTTCATTTGCAAGAAACTGCAGCTGATTTAATTTGCCGCATTAAATTGCAGATAGTGAGAGGCTGTAAAGGATTCCCACTGGCCCTTACAGTGGTTGGTGGATCACTCTGTGGACAACCTGAGGTGTTCTGGAGATGTACATTGAAGCAATGGTCTGAAGGACAATCCATTTTTGATTCCAACAGTGATCTGCTTATTTCTCTCCAAACTAGCATAGATGCCTTGGGTGAAAAAACTAATGGCAAGGAGTATTTCCTGGACCTAGGTTCATTTCCTGAAGATCAAAGGATCCCTGCCACCGCTCTTATCGATATTTGGGTGGAACTATACAACCTAGATGAAATCCGTGCTCTTGCCAACATCTATGAACTATCCACCCGAAATTTGGTTAATCTTGTTCTTACAAGGTATTCTAGATTCTTATTTTTCTTTAAAGTGTTCAATCATGGTTTGTTTTGATGATGTCTAGTGTGTTAGTTTGCAAAAAGGGCCATAATGAAGTGACGGTCCAATCTATTCATTGTGTTGAAGGGGTGGACTGGGCATTGGATGCAAAATTTGAAAATTTGACATTTTCTTTTAACAGTGCACAAGTGTTTTCTTTAAGACTCCAATATGCATTGACTTTTAGTTGTTTTCATCCTCTTATTCAGTTCTCTATATTAACTTACCCTCTGAATTCTGAAAGGACATTCATACAGAATTATCAAAATAATAATAATGTTATGACAAACGCAGTGAACCAAGAACAAAACAAGAATTACGACAGAAAATTAAACACGCCACACACAAAGAAAACACAGATTTACCTAAAATTTGGGCTACATCCATGGTGAAGGTCTGACTACAGATTTAACTATGTGAAAATTAGGAGATTACTAGTTTCTGCCCTCGAACCCTAGCTCTCTTTCACACTCTCTTTCTTGCGATCTGCGGTGCTCTCGTTTTCCAACTCAAAACCCAAAGCGCCCTTATAAACTTGGGCCCCACAAAGCTCATTTTTCGTGTCCAACCAAGGTCGCAACTTTGACTTGTAGGAATATTCCAGCTGCTGTTATCCTTATCTTGTTATTAATTGTCATATGGATGCCCGAATTTGTTTGTTCATTTTTTTCCCCAATTGATTTAGTAAGCATTATTGTATCCTAAAAATTGAATTGCGCCTTAAATACACCTGATTTACTCCTTTCACAGGAAAGATGCAATTGAGGTTGATGGCAATGAGCATTTTGTCACGCAGCATGATCTGCTGAGAGAGCTGGCTATTCACCAGAGCAGCCTAGAGCCTGTAGAACAGAGGAAAAGGTTAATTATAGACATAAGAGGAAATGACCTTCCCAATTGGTCGATTGAACAAATGCAACAACCCTTCCATGCCCGTCTCTTGTCCATCTCTACAGGTTTGCTTATCTCACATTTTCAAAATGAAACCTGCTGCAGAATATTTGATAATTTTTTCTTTCTTTTTTCCCCAATTCACAATGTGCGGAATTTGATTGCAGATGAAACATTCTCGTCAGGCTGGTACAATATCCAACTACCTGAAGTTAAAGTTCTAATATTGAATTTCCGGACAAAGAACTACAGCCTACCTGAATTCATCGAGAAAATGGACCAATTGAAGGTTCTGATCATCACGAATTATGGTTTCTGCCCAGCTAAACTGAGCAACTCTCCCCTACTTGATCCTTTGTCCAGTCTAAAGAGAATCAGGCTAGAGAATATTTCAGTTTCTTTCCTTGGTAAATCCACTTTACAATTCACGAATTTGCAGAAGATATCCTTGATTATGTGTGAGATTGGCGACGCCTTTAAAAACTGTACCATCGATGTCCCCCATATGTTCCCTAATCTTTTGGAGATTGATATCGACTGTTGCATTGATTTAGTTGAATTGCCTGAGGGGCTTTGTGACCTTCCTTGCCTTAAGAAGCTCAGCATCACTAAATGTCATGATTTGGAAGCGCTCCCTGAAGGATTTGGAAGGCTAACAAGTTTGGAAATGCTGAGGCTTCATGCCTGTACAAGCCTTTTGGGGCTACCTGAGTCAGTCGGTAGCCTCCATGAATTAAGAGTTCTTGATATTTCTGACTGTTTAAGCATGAGTAAATTGCCAATGGGGATCGGTGGGTTGTGTGGTTTGAAAAAGCTCGACATGAGAGGTTGTGAATTTCATAAGTTGACGCCATCAGTAAAGGATCTTTGGCAATTAAAGGATGTGATATGCAACGAAGAAGCTTCTGATCTCTGGGAACCTTTTAAGACTTATCTCACCAATCTGAAGATAAATGTGCTTAATGAAGACATCAATTTGAACTGGCTTCCCAATCTAAACGTCTGAGGAACCGGACCGAATTCATATGACGTCATGGTGACATCATATAGTGGACTTTATCACTCCACTCACATAAATTGAAGTCGATAACTACTGAATTCTGTCCTTAAATTATTATTCATAAAAAAAATAAAATTTGATGTCTAACGGTATATATATTTATTTTCAGTTATTTTGTTTACCTTAATGTTGTTACATATTTTGTGTTTGTGGGTGTTGCCATTACAATCTTCAATGAACAAGATGGCATAGAGTTGGTTTTGAATATGCTTGAAGGAAGAGAATTCCTCGAGCAATTCTATCCTGCTCGCTAGAAATGGTGGTTGAGCCACTCCTCTGTAGGTGGTTCTTGTTTACGGTATAAAGCTAATAAAATAGCAATAAAGCATATTGTCTTGCCTGTTGTCACATGTTCACAGCCCCCGATGTTTGGATTTGGTTGTCTATGATGCGGATATGTATGTCAATTTTAAGGTGTCTATATTCTTTCTAGAACCTAGATCCTCTCTTGTGCCAATAATGTTGTGCTGTGTTTATGCAACAATTTTACATTACTTGTACATTTACATTATTTTACTTATGCAATTACTTTTTTATGTATGTATTATAGTACGATGTAATTCGTTGTAATAGCGGTATATTTTTGACATAGGAAAAAGGCATATAATTCCTCACGAGGGGATTCGGATTCTTCTTGGTAACAAATTTAGCAATGACATGTTGAATCATCTTGTCAATGATCATTGCTATTTATTTTTATTCAGCAATTCCATAAATCAAACCAAACATGGGTGTTAAGTGAAAGAACCAAATAGTGGATATTTATTGGACGATAATGGTTTTCTTTATAAAAACGAAGACAAATCAATTTGTTTGGCTTCTCTCTCTAGGGCCATTTTAGGGTTTTTGTGTGTTTTATGTGGAGAATACGGAGCGTAGCACGGAGGAGGGTCAAACCTCTTCCACACAGCCACCGGGGGCTTTCTCTACTTCTCGGAATGGTTCTTCTCCACGGCCATCACGGTGGAGTTTGTTTGCATACTCTACCACACAGACGTATTTTATCAACCTGGATAACTATCATGCAGCATGGAAGCATAAGGAGAAGATTGTATTAATACTTTTTCAAAGAAGTTCATTGAGAAGATATGAGCAAAGGAGTTTGGTCTGATTTACCTTCGTGATGGCATCTTCATGGTAAAGTTTTATTCACCCCCAGGGCTTGGTGATGGTGGTAAGGTAAGGGGCTAGGTTCTAATATGTTCCGGTTTCAAACCCCAACGCCCTTATTGTAACCCCTGATTTAACCGGTGCTGTCGTTGTGGGGCCGATTACAACACCCTCGTTTTGTAACTTGGGGTGGGTCCAAAGGGACCTACCCAATGGAGTTCCGAGTTCACAAAAAAAAAAATAATAATAATAATAATAATAATAATAACAATAATAATAATAACAGAAGAAGTAGGATTCTTTATGGAGTGCACTATTTTAAAGGGCAACCTATCATTTTAAAGACGTGGAATCGGAAAGGAAATATAATACTGGAATGTTTAACTTAAGTAGGTGTTGTAAACATTCCAAAGTCCTATTTATAGATTTTCTAAACTAGCAGTTGCTTGCAGTTTAGCCTTCCAAGAAAACATGCGACCCATGCAAAACCCTTTTCTCCCGTTTTGCTTGTAGTGTCTAAGCCCACTCTACACTCACATCTTGTTGTCATGTGCCATACAAGGGGTCTCTCACCCCACTTTGTATGCAACTTTTCTTTTTTTTTTTCTTGGTTAAAGGGTAATCTTGTATATAAGATAATAAAGGATATACATGGAGCCCCAAGGGGAAATACATCACAACATAACCAAAAATCAACAATAACTACAATAGCAAAAGAATAATAATAATAATAGAAGAAGAAGTAGGATTCTTTATGGAGTGCACTCTTTTAAAGGGCAACCTATCATTTTAAAGACATGGAATCGGAAAGGAAATATAATACTGGAATGTTAACTTAAGTAGGTGTTGTAAACATCCCAAAGTCCTATTTATAGATTTTCTAAACTAGCAGTTGCTTGCAATTTAGCTTTCCAAGAAAACATGCGACCCATGTAAAACCCTTTTCTCCCGTTTTGCTTGTAGTGTCTAAGCCCACTCTACACTCACATCTTGTTGTCATGTGCCATACAAGGGGTCTCTCACCCCACTTTGTATGCAATTTTTTTTTTTTAGGTTAGAGGGTAATCTTGTATATAAGATAAGAAAGGATATACATCGAGCCCCAAGGGGAAATACATCACAACATAACCAAAAATCAACAATAACTACAATAGCAAAAGCATAGTTACTTCCGGCCAAAGTTTTGGTTACAGTTCAAACTCTAAAAACCTCAATACCACCCTATGAGATCAGCCACGAATACACACCTGATGAGGAATAGCATTTCACAAATAGGTTATGGAGGTCCTGTTCAGTTGTGATAATTCTAAGATCAGTACTCCTCTTCAACTTAATTGCAGCTGATTTAGCTCCGATGCAAAATTTTATCAAGGAGATAACATGATGAGGAGTGTTGGAGACATTCCTGAAAGCTCTTCCATTTCTTTCTTGCCAAAGAAAATATTTTACTGTTGACAGTAGGAGTTTATGAATTAAAAACTTTGCTTAGGTCTAATGAGCTGAACAACAGTTAATCAAATCCATCCAGCAGCTTGGTAGAATGTAGAATCCTACAATATCTTGTATGAAGTTCCAAATATGCGAGCTAAAATGACATTGGAAGAACAAGTGATCCATTGATTCCATCTCTGTCTTACAAAGGTAGCACCTTTAACATAGTGCTTAAGCATCATAGGTTTAGAATCCAGTATGTAAAATCTTCCCCTCATTGCTAACCAAGCAATACAACTGTGTTTGGGAATATAGTGTTTGAACCAAATAAGCTTATGCCAAATAAAGGTTGGTGAATGTGGTGCAAAATGTGCAGTGGTATGAGAGAATGAATAAATTTGAGAAGGACAAAGCAACCAAACAATACTGTCTTGTTGTTCAGAAGGTTGAGGCTGGGAGTATAATTGAGAAAGAAAGTTTAGGGATTGGAAAAACTATGAGTAGTTCAAAGATAGGGGAACCATCCAATGAGTACTGGAAATTAGGCTGTCAACTAAGGTCCTAGTGTCTAGTTGAAGAATTTCCACATCATTCAGCCCTATCTGTTGAACAATTAGACCATTATGGAGCCAGCAATCAAGCCATAAATTCGTGTCTTTCCCACACCCCACCCTATACATGATGAGACCTCTTGCTATTTCTCTTAGTTTCAACAAATTCCTCCAAAAGCTTGAACAAGTTATAGAGGGCTTTATACACCAAAAAGATCTATCCCTAAGCAGATAACAGTTAATCCAGGCCACCCAAAGGCTATCTTTCCTAAGTCACAACTTCTAAATATGCTTTAAATTAGCAATTCTATTTGAAAGCTCAAGGTTAGGGAATCCCAAACCACTATAGATCTTTGGACTACACACTGCAGTCCAAGTAACCTTTATACCTCTCTTTTTAAGCTCCACTCTAGACCAATAAAACCTTCTTAGTATTTTGTTAACTTCTTCAAATACTTTTTTAGGAAAAACAAAGGATTGGGACCAATAGGATGAATAGAGCACAATATTGACTTTATAAGAACTGTTCTCCCAGCATAAGGTATGAATTTGGAGGTCCAGCTACCAACTCTTCTAGTAATTTTCTCAACCAAGGTTTGACAATCCCTAGCTTTGATTGCTAAGGTAGACAGTGGTAAGCCAAGATAAGTAACAGGCTGAGATCCAACTTGGAATTGCAGGAGGGAAAGTTTAGAAGATTTTGTTTGGTTATCAACCCTTGAGAAGAAAGCCTTGGATATTGAGGGGTTAAGTTGTAGTTCAGTAAAAGAGCAAAATAGATTGAGGGCATTCACTAAAATTTGGATTGAACCAACACTTGCATGTGAAAATATCATAATATTATCAGCAAATGTGAGGTGAGTAATGGCTAGTTTTCTACATCTCCAATGAAACTTGAAGGTAGGATTAGTCCTAATTTGATTATTAATTATAAAGGTTAGAACCTCCATTGCCAAGACAAAGAGCAAGGTGTTAGGATCACCTTACCTAACACCTCTATTTTCTTTAAAGAATCTAAACAATTCACCATTGAGTGAAATTGAGTATGATGGTGTAATAATACACCGAGCCACCCAATGAACAAAGATTGCAAGGAAACCAAACAAATACAAAGCATCAAAGGTAAACTACCAATGTAAGGAATCAAAGGCTTTTATTAGGTCAATTTTTAGTGCACAAATAGGGGGTGGTTAGATCTGTTGTATCCATTGAGCAATTCATGTGCCATGATAACATTTTTTGATATGTGTCTTCCTTTCACAAAGGCATTTTGCTTGGTACTAATGAGCATATGGAGCACAGAGCTAGCTTCAGAAACACCAACTAAAGGTAGAAAAGCAATAGTAGGTTCAGTATAAGGGTTCATAGCAGGTTCAGTATGGGAGATCACATCAACTACAGTTTGAGTGGTCATAGCAGTTTAAGGTTCACAACAGTTTGAGGGGTTATTTCATTCTCAATTTAAGAGATTCCTTATCCTTCAAACTAGTGTCATTTTCAGTGGGATGCAATGAAGTGGAAGCTTCCAAATGTAAGGGAGAATTGGTGTTTATGAAGGGGTTAGGGATCGGGTGGCAAGAGGTTTTTCCTTTCTTTCTAGTAACCAATTACCATGTCTGAGGGTTAAGGGGAATGGGAGGGATAAGGCCACTCTGAGAATCCACACAAGTCTCTTTCAGGTGACCAAATAAGGAACACTTAGTACATATGTCAAAAATCCAAGGGTATTGCACATTGACAGTTTCAATTTTCCCACATTTCAAGGTAACATGGAATGATTTTGGGAAGGGTGAGAGAGGGTGGATCTCTACACAAACTTTTGCATAATCTATTATGTTCTTCTCTTGGGTGTTAATATCAACATTGGAGGGCCTTCCAACTGCACTTGCAAGATAACTAAGGCCTTTAGGAGACCAGAACTCGAATGGGACATTATATAATGTAATGACCCGGTCATTTTCATTCCTTTTCTTTTTGCTCAAATTTTACGAATAATTTTTTTTTTTTTTTTGTTATCTTTTCTCTTCTGTGTTTGGTTTCTCGTCACTTAGTATCATATCGAGTGCTCGAAAATGGTTTCTGAGACTCTTTTCTTAGGATTGACAACTTCTTTTAAGGATCGAGTCATTTTCACATTTTTCATTTTTCGTCACTATTCACTTTTTGTCTTTTCCCGATTTCCTTTTTCGTTGCATAACCTCACTTTTTGTGCTCGGGTTTGACTTTGGCTTTGCATACATCCATGATATTTAATTTCCATGATATCTACATTTTTACTTTTGTATAAAAGAATGTTAATTGTTTACTTTCCTT